GCAACGTCAGCAAGTAGCAACACGCGCCTAGGCCAAAAGACAGCGCAGGCCCACATGGTACAGGCGGCAAAGCACAGATGTACAGGTAGGGACTACAGACACCCGGTCAGCTACAGCCACAGGCCATCAGAACACACAGCGCAGGGACCTAGTACTAACAGCCTCACGTGGTGTCAGAGGAGTTCTCATCTTCAGCAGATTCGTCTTCACCATCCGCACCAGGTGCATCATGCTCACAGACATCAACTTCTTCCCGGGCATCACCAGCTTCTCGACTACGGCTACGACTTCGTTCACGAAGAGGGGCAAGAGAAGGGAGGCCGGCAGCTGCGGTAGTCGACGGGGCAATCATCTCAGTAGACGAGGATGGCCGGGAGGAGGTGCTTTCAAGAAGAGCAGTCACAGGGCCTACTCCACTGCCATTATCCTCTTCCTCATCATCCTCAGCCCTGAAGTCACCAACCCCAACATGCCTTGCAGGGAGCGAGTGATACGAGGGCACTGGGCGCGCACGATGTAGTCGACGTCTTGCTGCCACACCACGTACTTGTCGATGAAGTAGAGGGTCTTCTGGTAGAGGAACATGAGGAGGAAGATTTCCAACACAGGTTTCCTCATCCGCTTGGATATAGTAGAGGACCCTGTCGTCTTCTGCAGGCCACATGCCTCTGGGGCATCTCCTCCCGCTCTCCAGGTAGAGACGCTCAGTATGTGCTCGCCATCCACGCCGCCTATAGCCAGCCACCACATGCTCTTCAACTCCCGGGAAGGCGTGAAGAAGGGCGGTCAAAGTGGCTGGAAGGTGAGGCTGCAGCAGGACCGCCTGTGGAGATGTAAGCCCCGTGCTTCCGGTTGACGTAGTCGCAGAGCCTTGACCAGCTTCCCGACCAATCACATCCCAGAGGCGAGCGTCCATCGTGGCTGCATTGAAAGGGCGAGCATAGCGACCCCGCGAGACCCAGCACAAGCACTCCTCCAACGCAACACCAACCAAACGAAGACAGTGTTGGAGCCTTCGCTGTCTGTCCATGAGCCTGCGCATGACATCCGCAACATCGGCCGATCCCGCATGCTGGAGCTCAAGGTTAATGGCGTCCCTGACCACATGTTCACCCGTCACCACCGAGGACGTAGTTGTCGTAGACGAAGAAGGGAGGCAGGCTCCAGCAAAGTCACCCCATCCAACACAATACCACCCAGACCCAGTATGGCCAATGCCTGTGTTGGTCAGGGTCGCCAGCTGTGCCACGGTGTCCAGCTCAGGGCTAGGCGCAACTGTGACTAGGGTGTCCAATTGACTGGTCGTCCATGTGGTAGCCGCTGTTGAACTTGACGAAGAGGGAGACCAAGGCGAAGAGCACGGCGTCCACAGAGGGCTGGTCCCCGACCCAGCAAGTCCAATGCCCGTGGTGGAGAGGATGGTCTGTTGTGCCATGGTGTCCAGTTCAAGTGCTGGTGCGACTGTTACCAGGGTGCCAGATTGACTGGATGTCCATGTGGTGTCCGCTGTTGAATTCGACGAAGAGGTAGTCCAGGATGAAGAGCACAACGTCCACATAGCGCTGGTCCATGTGGTCGTCCATGTCGACAAGGCAGTTTGACAAGGAGCTTGTAAGCCGCAGGCGGAGTTCACATCCACTTGTACCTGGGAGCATGTTTCCAGCAGTGTTGGCCCAGTCCAAATTTCCACAGTCGTGGTGGTAGAGGAAGAGCCACCCATCACATCTTCCCCTGCTATGCCTGCCTGCGAACTGGAGGCTGGAACTGCCGGCGGCGTGTCGGAGTCAGCACTTGGCTCCCTCCAAATCCCTTCAAGCGTAGTAGGAACAACAAGCGAAGGTGGGGGGGGGCCTGTAGATGCGTCACCAACTTCCAAGTCTTCCGTAGTTCCCACAGGGTTGCCGTCCGAGTCAACTGCTTGGGCACTGTCAGGCGTGGGCACAAACAGAGACGTGCTGGTATCAGAACGTCGTCGACGGCTATATGGCCCTTGTGTGCTGCCGGAGGAACTGGACGCAGCTGGCACTTCAGTGTCCGTGTGGGACGGCGG